TTTTTCCCCCCTTTCCCCCTTTTTTCCAGCCCTCCCTGGGCCGGGCTGGGAGGTGATTGGTGACTCTGGGAGCTCAGATTTTTGGGAATTCCGGGATTTCCCGACCCCCCAACAGGGACACAAATTTGGGGGGACCCCTCCCATATAGGACAGAGATTTTGGGAAGATTTTGGGGCACCTTGAGGGGTTTTTGCAGTGTTTTTGCCCCCCAAACCCCACAGGGTGACATCAACCTGGGAGGTGCTGGGAGGTGACCGGGGCCTCTGGGAGCTCAGATTTTTGGGAATTCTGAGATTTCCCGACCCCCCACAGGGACACAAATTTGGGGGGACCCTTCCCATATAGGACAAAGATTTTGGGGAGGTTTTGGGGTGGTTTTACCCCCCAAAACCTCCCCAAACCCCACGGGGTGACATCAACCCAGGCCAGGCTGGGAGGTGACCGGGGCCTCTGGGAGCTCAGATTTTTGGGAATTCCGGGACTTCCCGACCCCCCACAGGGACACAAATTTGGGGGGACCCCTCCCATATAGGACAGAGCTTTTGGGGGTGTCCTGAGGTGTCTTTGCCCCCCAAAACCCCCCCAAACCCCACGGGGTCACATCAACCCGGGAGGTGACCGGCCGCCTCCGCGAGCTCAGATTTTTGGGAATTCTGGGATTTCCCGACCCCCTACAGGGACACAAATTTGGGGGGACCCTTCCCATATAGGACAGAGATTTTGGGAAGATTTTGGGGTGGTTTTACCCCCCAAAAACCCCCCAAACCCCACGGGGTCACACCAACCCGGCAGGCGCCCGGGCGCCTCTGCGCGTTCAGATTTTTCGGGAATCCCGGCACTTCCCGCCCCCCCGGGGGGACCCAACTTTCGGGGGCCCCTCCCCCAGCCCCCCCCGAGGTTTTTGGGGTGCCAGGGCCCCCCCCGAGCCCCCACCCGTGGCGTTGTTGCGGTGCCCCTTGTAGCGTTTGCTGTACTGGGCGCCGTCGCTGTGCCCGGCGTCGAAGAGGTAAATGTCCTCGTCGTTGTAACTGGCCAGCAGCTCTGCAATTCCAGAGGGGGAAAAACCGGGAATTCCGCCTCGTCAGGGGCCCTGGGAAGGCCGGGAAGCCCCGGGAATGCCGGGAATTGCCCGGGAATTGGTGTCTCACCGGAGCCGTCGTGGCTGTAAACCAGGCACGTGATGTTGGCTTTGGACTCGCTGTTCACCTGGGGGGGGGAAAAACGGGAAAAAAATGGGAATTCCCGACGGGATTCACGGGAATTCCAAAGCCTGGACAAAGAGCTGGGGGCGTTTCTCCAAGTATTTGTGTTTTCTCCCCGGATTTCCCCAGAATTCCCCCCCGAATTTCTCGGTTTTCCGACCCAAATTCCCCATTTTCCCCCCCCCAAATTTCCCATTTCCCCCCCCAAATTTCCCGTTTTCCATCCC